GTGAGCTTGACTGGGGTCATGTACTACCTATAAATCATTTTCATAATATTTTCTTTTAAGGCATTACATGCCGTGAATTTAATACCAGTGGTCCACAACAGTTCCCAGTCCTCAAACATAATGTTATGACCAATGTCTTGTGCCCACTTGATCATAGCTGATTTAACTATTTCATCCTGTGTATTCCATTCCAACAGCAAGTTGTACATTTTTGACAAGTTCTTAGTTTTGGATTCTAACAATTCTGTCTCCAATTTTGATTTTTCCACCTGGAAACCAATTTTCCTGTCTAACTTATAAATCTCCATTACTTGATAATAATGAAGCCAGTCTCGCACTTTGTCTTTCAATTTCTCATAACTCTGCAATTTCAGTTTATCCCCTTCTTGTTCCAAAATTTCCCAATATTTCGGCCATTTAGACTCCATATTGAGTTTTTTCACAGCCTTTGCCTCCATTGGGGACAACCACCTTGGAGTTTTATTTTCCAGCAAATCTTTATATTTGATCCAAACATTAAACAATGCTTTCCTGACAATATGGTTTTTAAAAGCTTTATGAGCTTTAACCTTGTCGTACCACAGATATGCATGCCACCCAAAAGTGTTATTAAAACCTTCTAAGTCCAAAATGTCTGTATTCTCCAGAAGTAGCCAGTCTTTCAACCAGCAGAAAGCTGCTGATTCATAATATAATTTAAGGTCTGGCAGGGCAAATCCACCCCTTTCCTTTGCATCTGTTAATATCTTGAATTTTATTCTGGGCTTCTTGCCCTGCCAGACAAATCTAGAAATATCTTTCTGCCACTTCTTGAAACAGTCCATCTTATCAACAATTTGCAATGTTTGGAACAAAAATAACATTCTAGGCAATACATTCATCTTTATAGCTGCAATTCGACCCGACAAGGAAAGCTTCAAATTTGACCTTCAAATTTGAGCTTCAAATTTCTAAATCTTTTTTCACTTCTGTCCAACATTTCTCATAATTGTCTTTAAACAAATTCGCATTTTTAGCTGTCATGTTAATCCCCAAATATTTCACTTTCTTAACCACAGCTAAACCTGTCTCATTCTGAAACTTCTCCCTTTCCATAGGTGTTAAGTTTTTCTCCAATACCTTAGTTTTAAATTTGTTCAATTTAAATCCTGCTACTTGACCAAACTCTTGAATTATTTCTAGAACCCTTTTAGTACTAGATTCTGGCTCTTGTAAAGTAAGTACCAGATCATCTGCAAATGCTCTCAATTTGTGCTGTTTAGCTCCGACCTGTACCCCTTTAACCAGCTGATCCCTTCTAATCATATTCAGCAAGACCTCCAGGACTGATATAAAAAGTAATGGGGAGATTGGGCACCCCTGACGTGTCCCTTTTTCTATCTTAAATTCTTCCGTAACCACATTATTTACAATCAACTTTGCTTTTTGCTCTGAATATATCGCACCTATACCATTTTCAAACCCTTGGCCTACCCCCATCCCCCGGAGATTCTTCCTCATAAAACTCCAAGAAATATTGTCAAAGGCTTTCTCCGCGTCCACAAATATCAAAACTGCTTTAGTATTTATATTCACTTCTAACTTTTCCAAAATGTCAATTATGTTCCTTACGTTATCTGACAAATGTCTTCTTGGGAGAAAGCCCGCTTGGTCTCTATGAATCTCCTCCATCAATACTTTTTTCAGCCTCTTAGCCAAAATGTCAGCAAAGATTTTGTAATCCACCTTTAGTAAAGAAATAGGGCGGTAGTTCTTTTTTTTAAAAAAAAGTTTTATTTTCAATGCAGAATCATAACAAAAAATTACAAACATTGAATCCAAAATAATACTATCCAAACAAAAATCCCGGGAACATATAGGGAAAAAAAACAGAAAAGGAAAAGGGGGGGGGGGGAGCCGAAACTAAGACTAAACAGAAACAAAAAAGCACACATCTACAACACAAAACCATATCATTACGTACATAAACACAAATTGACTTCCTTCCTTTGTTCTGAGACCTCAAAAAATTTACTCTTACTGTATTGTTGTGTCTAATTAAATTACTTCCATCTTTGTGCTTTTTTACACCATTTTTCTTATTCTTTAACCCTGTAAAGCATCATTCACTGCATACCAATATACTAACTCCAGAACAATGTTTTTTCATATAGTCTTTAGCACAACCCCATTCTTTTAATAATTTCTGGTCCGATTGTCCCCTTATGTAAGCTGTGAGTCTTGCCAGATTTATGTATTCACAAAATTTAATTTGCCAATCTTTCACTGATGGAATTTTTCTACCTTTCCAGTTTTTAGCTATAAGCATCCTGGCAGCTGTTGTTGCATAAAGGAATACTTTCCTTTGGTTTTCAGGGATATCATTTGTAATTAAACCTAATAGGAATGCCTCCGGTTTTTTACTAAAAGATATTTTAAACATCTTTTTGAGTTCTTCATAGATTTCATTCCAAAATTGTTTAATAGGTCGGCATTCCCACCACATGTGAAACATTGTTCCTATTTCTTTTTTACATCTCCAACAGATATTCGATTTTAATTTGTAAATTTTAGCCAATTTTACCGGAGTTAAATACCATTGGTACACCATTTTCACAAAATTTTCTCTTATTGTATAACATGCCGTGAATTTAATGTCATATTTCCATAATTTCTCCCATTGGTCCAGCCGAATTACATATCCTATATCACATGCCCATTTAATCATAACTTCTTTTACTTCTTCATCCTTTAATTCCCATTCTAATAATAAATTATACATTTTGGATATATCTTTTTTTGAGTTTTGTAATAATACCTTTTGTAATTTTGATTCTTCTTTTTCAAATCCCATTACTTTATCCTGGTTGAATATTTGTGCAATTTGGTGATATTGTAACCATGTGGAACAGTATTGGGTCACCTCATCGTATGGTCTTAGTTTTAATTGGCCCTGTTCTTGTATAGTGCATTTCTAATTACGTGGCTTAGAAATTCTTTATGGACTGCCACTTTGTTATAAATTAGATAGGCATGCCAACCATATCTGTTGTTCCATCCCTCCAAATCCAAAATGTCACTGTTATCCAATTTGATCCAATCCTTGATCCAAGTAAAGCATGCTGCATCGTAATATAGTCTCAGGTCTGGGAGTCCAAAACCTCCCCGCTCTTTTATGTCGGTTAATAATTTATGTTTGATCCGTGGCTTTTTGCCTTGCCATATAAACTTTGTTAGGTCCATTTTCCATTTTTTAAAACAATCGTCTTTACCTATTATGGGAATCATTTGAAAAAGGAACAGAAGTTTTGGTAAGATATTCATTTTAATAGCCGAAATTCTACCCCAGAGTGTTAATTTTAATCTTGTCCAAGTTTCCATTTCTCTTTTTGTTTCTTCCCAAAAAATTTTATAATTATCTTCAAACAAATTTATATTTTTCATTGTTATTTGTATACCTAAATATTTCACTTTTTTTTCAATTTGTAATCCAAATTTTTCTACCAGTTCCTTTTTCTCTTGATCTCCTATGTTTTTTACCATTAGTTTCGCTTTTTCTTTATTCAAAGCAAAACCTGATACCCTTCCAAAGTTTTCCATTTTTTCTAGAGCCTTTGCTATGCTTTCCTTTGGATTTTCCACCATTAAAACTAAATCATCTGCAAATGCCCTTATTTTGTATATTTTCTCTCCTAGGGATATTCCATTTATTTCTTGATCCAATCTGATTTCTTGATTTAATATTTCCAAAACCAAAATGAATAGCAAAGGTGAAAGTGGGCACCCTTGTCTGGTGCCCTTCTGTATTTTAAAATAATCAGTCGTGTCATTATTTATTATTATATTTGCTTCTTGTTGTTCATAAATTGCTTTTAACCCTCTTGTGATTTGGTCTCCCATGTCCATCTGGTCTAATAATATTTTTAGAAATTTCCATGATACTTTGTCAAACGCCTTTTCCGCGTCCACAAAAACAAAGGCTACCTTCTTACTTGGTTTCATGTCTAAATACTCGATCATATCAATCACTATTCTTATATTGTCACTCATTTTCCTGCCCGGCAAGAACCCTGCCTGCTCTTTATTTATACAATCCTGCAAAACTGTCTTTAATCTTGTTGCCAATATTTGTGCATAGATCTTGTAATCATTATTTAGTAATGATATTGGTCTATAATTGGTTATAAACTCTTTGTTTTGTCCTTCTTTTGGGATCACTACTATGTGCGCCTGTTTCCAGGTGTTGGGAAATAGGGCGGTAGTTCTTAAGTTGAGTCTTTTCAGTCTCAGTCTTCGGTATAAGTGTAATATAAGCCTCTTTCCACGTTTCTGGTGCCCTTTTCCCCTCCAAAATTTCATTACAAACTTCCTTCATAGGTTGTAATAGCCACTCCTTCAACATTTTATAATATCTGGAAGTAAGCCCGTCCGGTCCCGGGGACTTGCCCAGTTGCATGTCTGAATGGCACCTTCTATTTCCTGCTCAGTTATTTTCTGATTCAACACTATTTTACTTTAATGAGAGATTTTTTGTAATCCATGTGTCTTAAGAAATTGGTCTATGTCCATTTCTTTCTGCAGCCCTTGTGAGTATAATTGTTTGAAATATCTCTGGAAGCAATCTCTAATTTCATTTGGCTTATATATGTTCTTTCCTTCCACTTCTAGATTTGTAACCGTATTAAGTTTTTGTCTTTTCCTCATTTGCCCAAGCCAATAATTTACCACTCAAGTTATTACTATTAGTATTTAAAGCCCTTAACAGCTCCATGGGCCAGAAGTTTCCAACCCCTGTGGAAAAGATAGAAACCTGCATTCTCTTCTCCATCAGTGGGGCGGTGGAGTGTTTGGCAAGCACTCCTCCTCTTTGCTTAGGAATTTTGGGTATATTGCCCACCTTAGCATCCTCTTTGAAGGCAAGGTGGAGATGGACTGAAATAACATAGTGCCTGCAGTGGTTTCCATCAGAAATTTAAAGCTTATATATGCATTAAAACTTCTCTTTATATGATCCCCAACAGGCTTGGAAGTGGGTCTTATGCCCTGTGATATTGTACATCTGTGAAAGAATTATTAGGCTCTGGAGGTTTCAGCAAGAGGTTGTCGTTACAAAGGTGTGTATGTTGTATCAGCTTTATTATCTGTATTAAAATAAAAATGTATGGTTATATTGCTTCATCAGTAGAAAGTTCTGTATTCAATATTTTGTTGGTGTATTGCACATTCTGTTCGCGGGTTCATTTTCATTACCATATACATGAGCATTTCAATATTGCCTTACTTTCATAATACTGTTAAGGAAAAAGTTTTCCTGCAACAGCAAGTCTGAAATTGAACTGCAAGGTATGCAACATCATCACCATGTGAAAAATATGGAGGCGCTGTGGCCAGCAAAAAGTCATGCAACCAGGTGCAAATGGTAGCTAATATTTGCCCATTTAAAATCAGCTGAGTCACTTCTATTATTACATTCCTTGTTGATGCACAGGACTATTTTGGGGTTGCCATTCAGTGGTAGAGCCTCTGCTTTGCATGCAGGTTCAATCCCCAACATCTCTAGGTTGGGCTGTGTGAGTTCCATGAGTTCCTTGCCTGAAACTCTGGAAAGAGCCACTCCTGGTCAGTGTACACAATACTGAACTAGATGGACCAATGGACTCGGTATAAGAAAGCTCCTTGGTTTCCTAGATATATTGCGTGCTGATTGTCATTTGACTGTGGCTTAGGTGGTGTCTCATTCCTCTGGAGTTCTGGAGCTTCATATGAAAAAACGTGGCTTTAAGATGGAGGCTGGTCAGTATATCTTTCTCCAGTGCCCCGCTATCTCACAGATGGAATGGCACCCATTCACTCTCACTTCAGCCCCAGAAGACGACTTTTTCAGTGTACACATACGGTCAGTCGGGGATTGGACAGAAGCCCTTTTCAGCGCCTTTGGAGCAGAGGAGAAAACCTTTCACGAGCCCTGGAAGCTGCCAAGGTTTGATAACTAACTGCAGTGTTGCATACTTGTCATTTTGTTTTGATTAACTAACAATTTGTGAAGGGTTTTTTCCCCCCCATATCGAAACAGAGTATAAATTATAATTATAGATGTAGTAAAACACAGCATTCTCGAAGTCTCACTGGCAGGAGGGAAAAAACCCCCACATATTAATGTTTTCCTTCAGGAGGACTGCTTAAATCATGCTACTTGGAAAAGATATTGAATATTATTTGATATGCCCATGATCCAGCCAAAAGTAAGCACTTTGACATTCCATGGTTTTCAGTAGGAAAGCTAAGCAGCTGTTTAAGTCTGCAACTGTAAGGTTCATAAAGTGTTTCAATTATAAGGGAAGGGACAGGTTTGGGGGGGGAGCAGGGGGCTTAATGAAATCCACAGATCCCACCTCCCAATTTTAGCAAAATCCTGTCCCTTCATAGTTTTCTAAAAACAGTAACACAAAGGCAATGCCTCCTTCCCCTGTAATTCAAATACTGGGAGTAAGTCCATTGAACTCCATAGCACTTACTTCTGAGTAACTATGTATGCTTACCACTATGCTGCATGGGAAGGGAGAGGATAGATATTTTAACTAAAAATCAGAAATGTTTGTTTTTGCTGCAATGCCTATAAATAACCAAAAGATAAAAGAGATAAAAATAAATTACCCCCAGATTGGAAGTAAAACTTTTTGAATCTACTCTGGCTCTATAGCCAGTTCTTATTTGCTTGTTAGCATACTTGCTATTCCCCCCCCCCCAGCTTTGCCATAAACTTTCTTCATCCTTCCTAATCATTATAAAATAGTACCAGCAACTTAACAGGGTATCTGGGACAAGGCAATCTTTGCAGCGTGTGCTGGATGCTGGCATTTTGTTCTCAGGAAGTTGTTCACAAATCTATCTTCTTCCCGTCTGCTTGCAGCTTCCTAAAAGTTGGCACATGTCATGCGACCTGACGCGATATCACGATTCATAAAACCCCCACCAGTCAGGGATACCTTCTGAACTGAGGTGCAGTCTAGAGAAAGTTAAAGGTGCCTAAGGACCCCTGATAGGAAATGACCAGGTTCCAGTGTAGAAAAGGGACTGGAGCTCAGAGAACAAGGTTTGCAAGGAGGCCTTGGACATCTCTTGTTAAAGGTATCAGGTAAAAGGTGGAGGCAAAGATTACCTCCTCCTGAGACCCTAAAGAGCTTCTGCCAGTCAGATTGGATTGGGGTGGGGATCCTTCTTCAGGCCTCCTTCCCTCATGGAAAGCCTCCTGTGTAGGGTGGAAGGATCAGCCAATTTTGGTTCTCTCGATTTCTCGTTTTTCCATTTTTTTAAAAAAACAACAAAAAATAAAAAACCACAGACTTCTTTATTGAAAGTTAGAAATGGTTTCTCTTTTTTGTTTTCTTTCTTTTATTTATGTCTCACCCTGTTTAGTGGACATTTCTGCAGCAACCTGAAGGAAATCCCTTAGCATTTTAGCATGAATATCTCATAATAAACACATTTTTCCATGCAGTTTTGACTAATGGACCCATTCTTGCAAACAATCCCCACCTAATATAATGTGTTTTTGTATGTTATTTTCATAGATATCTTCATTTTTATGCAGACTTTTCCCTAATACATGCATTGATGGGTTGGAGAGCTGCAAAATTTGGATAAGTGAGAATTCCAAAGGCCAGCTGGCTGTTTGCATTTTGTTTCGGAAAGTGTGAGGCTGATAGATTTGGCATTAAACGCATAATGAATCAAATTCCCCCGCCATCCCTGTTCCTGGGGGCCACATGTGTGTAGTGGGTGGGGTCAGAGCAAATTTACGTGGAGCAACAGGCATGACTCTTACCCTTGTACAGTAAACATCAGAGGTTTTGACATAGTGTCGCATTCCCCTCCCCACACCCAAATCTCTCTGTCATCCTTTCAGGCTAGCGAGAGGCCTAATTATAGTTCAGGGAAGCATTTCAACGGCAAAAAGCTCTTGAAGAGGGCACAAAATAGGGCCATTGGGGCTGTAGCCTGAGACTAGAGCTGGCTTCCTCAACCTCGGCCCTCCAGATGTTTTGAGACTACAATTCCCATCATCCCTGACCACTGGTCCTGCTAGCTAGGGATCATGGGAGTTGTAGGCCAAAAACATCTGGAGGGCCGAGGTTGAGGAAGCCTGGACTAGAGTGTGTGTGGATTGGGAAGGAGTTAAGTTTAGGAAGAGGGCCTGGAAAATGGCAAGGCCTGCTGTTCTCCAGCCTTGGATTAAACAATGCTGGGGTAGTTGAGCAAACAGTCTAAGATAGTATAAAGCAGCTTCCTGTGTATGATTAACTATCCTTAACTTCTTTTTTTAACCAGATTGCCCCAGAGAGGATTAAAATATAAACCCTATATATTAAATCCAAATCCTGAATTTTAAGTCTTCTGAGTTTATGTCACTAAACCACTTTTTATCCGATGAATCAGGGATTAGGTCTTCAAAATATCCTCAAAGTAGAAAAGATGTCAGATGATTTTAAGCATGGCATTTAAGAAAGAACAATGGACAGTCGGGCACCAGTCGTGTGCATTCAAGAGCAAGAGGCTCCGCAGGAAAAACTTATAAAGCCAGGAGAACTGAGAAGCAGTGTAAGAGAAGAAGGAATCTCCCTTCCTGAATTGGTGCAAGCTCGTTTTGCTCTGAATGCTCCTTTTAATGCAGACATTTTCATATATTTATAAATTACATGCTAATATATCTAATTCTATCCCCACCCTCACATTTTTCATTCCTTCACCGCATAGCAAGAAGTTTTCAAACTGATTAAAAACATTCCAAAATTAAATCAGTTCCTCTGTGCCTTGATTTGCACACTATGGAAAATAAGACTTTTAAAGCAGGATGCTTTTTTTCTTAAATCATAATTAAATATGCAAATACTCTCACTAAATTTGGCCATGCAATTAAATCACTAATCAGATTGCCGGAATCCTTAAAATTGCAATTGCATGCTTAAATAAAATGGCCAGAGCCCTTATGCACATAGCCCTCCTGCTCTCTTCTGCTAAATAGTCTATTTGATAGCAAAGCAGCAGTCATGGAAAACTGTGCCCTTCTTCTTGTAACAAATATAACCAAGTCATCATTTTGGAACGATTCTATTTTGTCCTATAACATTTTTTTTTATGTATTTATTAAAAATTATATCCCACCGTTCTTCCATTTACCCATGACAGTTAGTAATCCATATATTAAAATAACAGGTACAGTGGTACCTTGGTTCTCAAACTTAATCCATTCCAGAAGTCTGTTCCAAAATCAAAGTGTTCCAAAACCAAGGCACGTTTTCCCATAGAAAGTAATGCAAAATGGACTAATTCATTCCAGACTTTTAAAAACAACCCCTAAAACAGCAATTTAACATGAATTTTGCTATCTAATGAGACCATTGATCCACAAAATGAAAGCAATAATCAATGTACTGTACTATAAAATAAATAAGACAGTATTGTAGATGATAAAAATTAAAATTAACTTTTTTTTCTTACCTGCACTGATGATAGTCATTGTTTAGATAGGTTTTTTTTTTATTCATTTCCACAGTCACACAATCAATCAATCAATCAGTAGCTGAACTGGGTTCTACAGTCACAAAAACAAATTAACCAAAAAACCTCAAAAACAAAAACACAAAATAAATAGCAAAAACAAAAGCGCCCAACTTAATCCGTTCCAGAAGTCCATTTGACTTCCGAAATATTCAAAAACCAAGGCGCAGCTTCTGATTGGTGCAGGTGACCAGGAAACAATAGCCGACAGTCGCATCGGATATTCAGCTTCCGAAAAATGTTCGGAAACTGGAACACTTACTTCTGGTTTTTTGGCATTTGAGAACCAAGACTTTTGAATACCAAGGCATTTGAGAACCAAGGCACCACTGTATTAGAAAAAATAAAATCCACATAAACTTAAATCAACAAAAAGAAAACTCTGAACAGTGGCAGACTTCTAATTTTAGCTGAGTGTTTCTTGTTACAGACTAGCTGTGGATGGGCCCTTTGGAGCAGCAGCAACAGATGCGTTTCAGTATCAAATTAGTGTCTGCATTGCAGCAGGAATAGGAGTCACTCCTTTTGCTTCCATTCTGAAATCGATTTGGTATAAGTGCTGTAATCTAAGCACAGGACTGAGACTGGAAAAGGTAATCAGTATTGTGGTTAGATATTTCATTTGCAAATATGCTTTGCATCACTTGCTCATTTGGGGGATCATTTCAGTAAATAACCATCATGGTTGTACTAGCCACTTGCCTTCCAGCTAATGTCCCAATTCTATTAACTTGTGGCATTCTGTGTAAGGGAGGCAAAGCTGCCTGGCTTTTTCCTAGGCAAATTCTATCTGTAGCTGCTTATTCTTACCTTTGTTCAACACTTAGCTAAATGGCCCATAGTATTAAGATTCTTTGGGAGAAGCCATGACTGTGGTGTGATGCTGCTTTAAATGTATAGTGCAGATGGGGCCTTGAACTCTGCATAAATACGTTAATATGATTCTAGATATTCAAAGTTTTAAGTCTGGACTATATTTCACCCAATAGAACATATGCATTGATTATGACTTGAACTTCATAGCCTAGTAAAAAAAGAAAAAGTAAACAGACTTCATTTTGTGCTGAACCTGTTGCATTATCTTCCTTCTCTGATGTACACTGTATTGGCCAGTTTGGTGATATAACCCATATCCTATTTTCATGCTAACCATTCCCCCACTGGGGTGGGAATTAGCTTTATTTGATTCCTGAAATATGGTTGTATGGCCTGGATTGTTGTTGTTTACCTGTGTCAGTTGGCATTCATAATGCCAAAGTGCTGGTGCCCTGCTAGTGATAGGGGTTGAGGTGAATTATGAATTCATTTCCATTCCTCCCCACTTCTTTCCAGTTCCACATGTATTCCACAAACAAGGTAATGCGTTGAGGGGAGGTGTCTGGCCCTTGTAAAAATGCTGTGAGGAGTGTCACTGAAACTCCCATTTTACCGACAGAAAACTGATAGCAATTGTACATGAACTCATTATGAAAATTAAGTCTAAAAAGAGGTGCAATGTAGCGGCTAAGTGTGTGAGATGTAGTCCAGGAAGCTCCTAGTTTAAATGTTACTTCAGATGTGACTCATTAGGTGGACTTAGTTAAGCCACTCTTCTCAGCCATCTGCAATATAGATAAAAATAAAGATCTACCTCAGTGGGTTGTTGTAAGAATTACTGAGGTAAAGGATGTGAAGTGCTTTGAACACTTAAGAAGTGCTATAGAAATGTTGGTTACTATTCTTATATTTATTGCCAAAACTTGCCAAATTCTTGTATTAGTTGCCAGAGCATCCTGGCTTGTCAGATATTTGAACCAAATCTCCCTGGTCCAAGTCCCTTGTGCTGTCATATTACTGGAAGCAGTTTAGATGGAGCATTAAGAATGTCTACATCTCAGTGCCTTAGAGGCAGTGGCTGTGATTTTCAAAAATCCGTTTAAACTGTATATGAATGACTGCTGGAGTATGTTTAAAAACTCTACATCGTCAATGCTGGATAGAAAATCAAGTATAAATTTACACCTGAGCACAGTAGCCAGCTATAAGATTAGCTACTTATCTCCAAATAAATAATTTAAGAGCCATATAGGACGCCCGATGAAAGCTTGCACTTTGTTGAATTGTTTTACTTTCCCTTGACAGGTTTATTTCTATTGGATTTGCCGAGATCCATCTGCCTTTGAGTGGTTTGCTGATCTCCTGTGCTTGCTGGAAGCACAAATGGCTGAGAAAGGGAAAGCCCATTTTCTAAGCTATCACATATTTCTTACTGGCTGGGATGAAAGTCAGGTATAAATGAAATCTTATGGGACTGAGTTACTGAATCTTACTTTTCCAGGACTGCAGCCTAAGGAACAGTAATCAAATGAATGCCTAATCACATAAAGCATAGCTTCCTTAGAGTGAATAGTTGTAACATTTGTCTTTTGAAAGTATTCATTCCAACTATATTTACCATGGTAGTCCCCTTGATGCCAGGTTCTCTGCAGATGCAGGAGCACCCAAGCCCTGGCAGATTGGCAGCCAGATCTGCAACTGCTCCCCAAGCCCTCTTCTCTTTAGTTCTTCTCTTACACTTTCCTTTCCCTCCTTCCAGCTTTCCTTCCCCCCGTGACTCTGCCTGCTCCCAACCCCTTATGGCAGTGCCACCCTGTCCACTAAATTTCTCTTTATGGCACTTCACAATTTCTCCCACAACTTGTACATTCATCTCTACTAACTATTTTGGTTAACTGATGGAGAAACAGGAAGGCACTGGGGACAGATTTGGGGTTATCTTCTACCTATACATAATTTGGGGTTATCTTTCAGGAGTTTGATGACCAGGGCAAGTATTCCTGCCTACTGTGCAGTTTGCTACACAAATTGATGCCACTGTGATAATAAAGAAAGGAATGCAAGGTTGGAATCAAGGGTTAAGGGGTATGGGAGATGGGGAAAGAGAAGAGGGAAGGGAGGCATAGCTACAGAAATCCATTATCTCTTGCTGACCTTGAGTAGATGCTGCATGATGTATGTAGCTTAGCTACCCATGTGAATCTGCTGGCTAATGTGGGAAGTCTGCATGCCAGCACCACGTGCCACTCATGAGATTGGGCAGGTCCACTATGGATGCCGATTTCAGAAACATCCACAGAATGTTAACATTTAGAGCAACAATACCATGGTCATAACTAATGAAGATGTCTTATGAATTGTAGAGTTGGGACCACAAGGGTCATGTATAGTCCAACTCCCTGCAATGCAGGAATCTTTTGTCCAATGCGGGGATCGAACCCATGACCCATGACCCTGAGATTAAGAGTATCATGCTCTACTGACTGAGCTATCCCAGGAGAATATGAACTTGGAATATAAATCCCATCAGCCCAGCCAACATGGTCAGTGGTCATTTGGAGGGCATCCCTGATCTAGACTTTGGAGTGCCTCTTTTAGTCTGTTCCTCTATATTTTAGGATTATAGCCTTTCCTTTTTTTACTTGAAGGTGATGTTAAACTTGCTGGTTCTCAAATAATTACCTTTTGGTTCTCAACAATACAGGCTACTCATATTGCCTTACATTATGATGAAAAGTTGGATGTAATTACTGGTTTGAAACAAAAGACCTTCTATGGACGACCAAACTGGGACACAGAATTCAAACATATAGCAGAAAATCATCCTAGGTAAGGCAAATTAGCAAGTAATGTCATTATACTGCATTTTCCCCAGTGAGCTAGGTAGGGAAGAAAAATTGTACCACTTTATCAATAACACTTTCAATAATAATTTGAGCTGAGTTCTTATGCTGAAAGCATCTTTATGTGTAATAAAACTTTAGATGAAGAAATCTTGGATAGACAATGCCAATAAAATCTAATTTTTGGACAGGAGAATCTAATATTTGAAGTATTAAAATATCTTGGCATTTGTCCAGCTATAATTGAAAGACACAATCCAATTATTGTTCAGCACAAAGGACAAAGTAACACTAATTTCCCTTGAAAATGGTTATTAAAGAGATAAACAGTGAGGCCTTTTTCTTACGATGTCAAGGATGTGTTTGTTCCCCAACATAATTGGCTGTGGATGTAAAGACAATGCTCTTATGTTATTAGTTCATCTCAGCTTGAAAGGTCTAAGTTGAACTCCAGAGTTTTGCTAAGAAAAGCTTAGAAAAGGCTTATTTGTTCCCAGTAGCCTCTGAAGCAGTCACTGCAGCTTATTTTGTCTTCATCACCCAGAAAAAGGACATAAACAAAAATATTTTGTAGTTTCTTAACAGCAGTAGGGGTGTTGGAGAAATTCAATTCAGTTCGCATTTAAAGGTGAATCTATGTAATCTGAAACGGTGTGTATACCAAAATGCAGCCATCATTTGAAATTTGCAATCTAGTTCTCCAAGTAATTTATACAGTGTGCATGAATATGTGTATACTAATGAAAGTAACATGTGAAAAGTGCATTATCTTATGCCAGATTGCTTTGCAAAAATGTGTATATTGGGCAGAATTATATACAAACATGTGTATATATACAAGCAATACAGTATTAGGAGAAATTCACACTAAAATGCTGGTGAATTTTCATGAAAATGTTTTCTTTAATTACAAGCTGTTGTGGAAATGTGGAGAAGTGAATGTAAGACTGGAAGAACTATAAATTGAAATTGACAGACCCATCAGTCCCTGTTTAGCAGTGCCCACTATTTACCTGCCAATAAGAATGTCTTTTTAAATAAGAAAAACCTGCATGGCAATCCTATATATGATTACTCAGCTATAAGCACTACTGAGACAAGTGAAGCTTACTTTTTAGTAAGGATTCAAATGGAATCTATCCAGTGGACTACCTAATCCAGAGATGCCTAACCATTGACTTGGGAGGCCACATGAAATCAGCTGTGATACACAAACATGACAGAATATAAAGTCTTTGCTTTCAAGTCCATATAGTTCATGCTTTAAAGGATTTCCCCCCTATAAAATGTTTGATGCATGTTTAGCCCTATGACCCTTTTCAAAGGGTGACTTTCAGAAACAGACAAAAAAAGCTCCAGGGCAGTGCAAACTTTATCTTGCCATTCAGTGTTCTGACAGCATCCCCCAAATAATGGTCATGAAGCTGGAAACATATTTCCCATGCTCTGTAATAAAGTTGGCATTACATATTATTATCCCCCCCCCTTCTTTCCTTCTGAAATTAATCTGGGTATCTTGCTTTTCTTGGCAGCAATAACATTGGTGTTTTCTTCTGCGGACCTAAATCTCTGTCTCAAACCCTTCGAAAGAAGTGCAGCTGGTATTCATCTGCTGATCCAAGAGGTGTTCAGTTTTACTACAACAAAGAAAGTTTCTAGACCTTTTGAAACAGAGCATTTGGCATTCTGTGTTTAGTAGAGGAATTTACTTTGTCCTTAAATTGCAATCCGAGATTGCTTAGAGTGAGTTTGCTGCTTTAAAAACAACAGCACAGTAGTGGAGAGAAGTTCTCACCAGCTCAGTAGTCCCACGTATTCTGAGTTAGACAAGTGCTAAGCAAACAGGTCACCTGAAAAACAATCTTCCCCTTTCCTCTATGAGCATTAGGATTAGCAAATGGGACTTGGCTGTTTTTCTATCAGCTTATGGTAACCTGGAGGTGGGGTATTTCAATGGCAGCACGAGTGTTGTAAAATGCCCTCCCTGCTGAAATATGAAAGGTCCCAGAAGTACCTGTTTAGGCAAGCGTTCCTCTGAACTTGATTTTTTTAACTGCTTCAGCTGTTGTGCTTTTTAACTGGCTTGTTTTATTGTATATTTTCATTAGGGATGTTTAAATGCTCTGGTGGAATTGTCATTGTGTATTTTAATTATGTTTAAATTTTATAACTGATTTTATAGCTGTAAACCACTTAGAAGCCATTTTTGCATATAAGCATTATATAAATCAATAAACAACAGCAACAATAATAATACTACATATAAATGCTAATACATTTAGATCATGCTTAGAATAAAAAAGTGATGGGCAGAACCTCATTTCTCCAGGCCCACCATCCAGTCACAGCACATTAATAATAACAACAGCAACAATTGTACTCCATTTGGTGGTCCAAATGAGAATCTGGTTTGTGTGGTAGTGAAGATACAACATGTGTTACTATTGTGCAGTTTTTATAGGAACAAAAGAACCAGACCTATCTATACCTGTAAGGTCTTCTGTAGAGTGATATAGCCTTCTTGGTCATAGATACACAATCTCATGAAACTGAATCAGTTACAAATTTTTATTACCTGGAAGACAAAGCTTGCAAGCTCAGAATTATTAAGGAGTACTGGGTCTAAGTTTGTCTGAACCTTGTCTGGTCTTTAACAATGAAAATGTATTGTTCAAGGCTTCCCTGCATCACCATCCTTTGTTATGTATTTCTTCTTTACAGCATTTATATCTTGCCCTTTAGCCAAAAAGGCTCTCAGCACTGCTTACAGAAATCAGTTTCAGGTCCTTCCCCTCAGGCGCATCTACAAAGACATAACACATGAGGAGGGGAGCAAGCTTGTCACACAAGATAGGGTTGCCATATCTTGAAGAGCAAAAAAGAGGACAGCCCGAGCCAGTGCAAGCCTGAGCTGGGGAAAGAGGTGTGTGGGCACCTGAAATGCCTGAGCCCCAAACACGCCCCCAAACCAGACATTTCCTTTAAACTGTAAAAATCTGCCCAGATGGGTATGTTGGCACTCAAAAAGAGGACACGTCCGGGTTTCCCCAGACGTATGGCAACCCTACACAAGAGCTCCGGATCTACTTTAATTACACAACCTGAATGCGCCTGGTATGTGATTGAATACCACTTGAAAATTCCAACTTAGTTACCTTCTATGCTTTCAGACTGTTCTGCTCCCCCTTTTTCTTTCTACCTGATTCAACTCCCATCTGTTTTTAGATTCCAGCTGAGATCATAACACTTTTCCTACTCAGGTGCTTTGCTACTTCCCTCCTCTCCCTGTAAGTGCTGCTTTTCTTTACTCTGGTCATTGATAAACCATTAAGAATATGTATTTGAAACCTGACACTTATATACCTCATGGTGAAGTTTCCAAAAAGTGTGGGGGAGGGGAGCATCCATACAAACTCCAAAGAATTAGCACATAAATAGCAGTAGATTTGTTCGACAGTAAACAAAAGAAAGGCATTGCGGTTGTACTGAGGTGTAAAATACGGATCAAGGGGATCAGATAATGCGTTTACTGATCCACGCAATAAAACCTGAAGTGCAAAACATCCCATGTGTGTCACCAGATGAACAAGACAAATGACAACATTATACATACATGCACGTACAAGGCAGTGGTAAAACACTAAAAAAACACAAAAACCCAGTGAGAGTATACAGAGCAAGAAACCCTGCATATTACTGAATGCTACCGTTATAGTTTATAATCTTCTGTTTGGGGACCAAATTTGTATGGAAAGCTTGCTATAAAAGGCACAGTTGTACTATGATTGAGTTTAAGGCTGTATATCTTTATTTCCAAATAGTTTTAAAAGATGTGGTTTTTCTTCTTCTTTCCCCTCTGTATGAAATGATTAATGTGGGGCATTGGCAGGAGCCACAGAGTAAGTGATGAATGAATCTCCGTGGTGGTTTGCCCGGAGGCTTCCTTTCGCCTCAGTGTTGTACTGAACCTCAGAGAAACTTGACACATTAAAAATATAAATTTCATAGAGAAAGAAACATCAAGCTTTTGTGAAGAGGAGTGCTGTGCGGAAACAAGGATCAGCTGCTACTCTGTTGAAGAAAGAAGCGGTAATTTCCGACAGATCCAGAGTGGTTCTTTTAATGGAGCCTATATAGGAAGCAACAAGCATAGTGTCTGAAGTACTGTGCTCTCATTCCCCACAACCTATACTTAGGGCAGCCTCCTGCAACAAGATGTAATGTTTTTGCTTCTAGCTCAATGTGGCATCTCTCCACTGCTTTGATTTATTCTCGCTTTTGCAAATCAATGTGGTATGCTACAGAAGACGCATTTTGAGTCCTTGCTGCAGTTGACTGAGTAGCAGAAGTGTTATCACTGTGAGAGGTGAATTTCCCTGGTATCAGGGTGAGTGACTTAGAATGAAAGGGGGGGAAAGGAAGGAGGTGGGGGAAAGATTGGCGAGGCTTGTTAGACTAGAATGAAACTGTATTTACACTGAATGAAGATCGCTTTATTATGGATGCGGCTGAAATCAGAAATGGATAATAGGATGAGGATGTATAGAACCCTGCTGGGAGAAGTGCTATTTTACCCATTGACTACAACTTTAGGAGTGCATATTGCAGCTGTGCCTGGAGTGAGGTGGAATGAAGGGCAAAACAAAATAACAAACAGAAATGAATTTGCTTTTTGGATATGTGAAGCTTTAGCAAAACTGCAGAACTGAAATAAACATCACATAGACCTTGTTCTTGAAGCCTGAGTTGCAGTGGCGTAGTGTAGTGTTGAGGGGGGCAGAGGGGTGGTGACCATGGGCACAAAATTCTCAGAGGCTCCCTTGTGTGGCTGAGCTTCTGCCCCTTTCTAGAGCCATGGGGAGGCAAACTGGGCCTGGGCTGGGCTTTAGAAGCTTGGGTCGCACCTCCTTCTCCTTGTGGCTGGCAAAGGGATGCCCGCATGCCCTGCCCCTTGGCTGGCTGAGCTGGGAAGCGCTGGAGCCATGAAGTCAAGAGGGTATGTGGCCACCAGCAGCAGCAGTGCCGGCACCAGCAGCCATGTGCCTCGTGGGCTCCACATGCACCCCTCAGGCACATGCCTCCACCCCAGCTACCCAGTCCACTGGTGCGGGGTGCAGCACTTGCTTCGGGCGCAGGCAAACCACAATACGATACTGTTGGGTTGTGATAGGGCATTATATGAGTTCTGCCCTATACATATCAACTCAGATCTAATCCACTATTACGTTCAGTGGTGCCTACTCTCAGGTACGTGGGTACAGGGTTACAGCGGTTCCTTCCACAGATGATGGGCAATATCTGAGAATTATTGGAGTATAACCCAGATTGATTGGCAGGTCTCATCCTGTCTTCCTATTCTTTAGCATCAAGAAATACAAAAATCATTGTTGCAGCATGAATGCATTTTCAGTGGGATAGCAAGGAAAATGAACAGAGGAGTAAAGTATTTCCTTTTGTCTCAGTTTTGTGGTTATACTTGACCATATTCATTAATCCCAATGACTACCCAAAAGCATTAAGTATTTAGTTGCAGTGTTAAGCAGGGAAAGTTCTGTCAACTGAAGCAAGCATTATCAATTAAGAAATCCAATAGTCACAAACTTGATTCATGGGCTTGAGCTCAACCTATCATAATGACAGAAGTGACACCATAGTCCCCATGACCAGCACAACTAGACTTACTTAAAATTCCCTTCAGTCATTCTACAAGTGGTTAATCACATGCTCAGTTTCTCCTGCATGGATGAGTGTTAAGGGAGAAGCATTAAGTTCACCAAAGTATTAAAAAAATGATTTAGATTTTCAGGTAGAGACACATAAAAGTCTTTCACATGTACCTTTCTATCTTAACATTTAAGTTCAACTCTTGGGGACGCCATCTGAACAATGAAACAGCAGCATTGAGGTCACAACCTCCTTAGATCTATTTACTCTAGCGCAACCTCATTGCAAGTAATGGCACTATGGTGAAGAATGAGTGTCTTAATACGAATGTAACATAAAAATATTGGGCTAAAACAAAGCTTTCCAAATATTAGTGTGTCTGCTGCAGTCTGTAGGTGTATCGTGTGAATGCGCCTCACGCTTCTCCCGGGGCTGGAAAGGGGTTCGTTTAACCTCTGGTTTGCTAGTAAAACTGAATTACTGTGTCACAAAACGATGCATGTCTAAAAAGTGTGTTTGGAAAGCTCTGGGCTCAAGTTGCTCAGTCATCATTGAAATATTTCATTATTCATTCATTGTGTGCAATTAAGTGCAACCTATGTAAATAAGTGCACTTTATGTAAATAAGGCAATTTTTCCCATGGCAAAGTGGCTTTTTTATATATAATGGAGCCAAGGCTTCTCAACATGCTCACCTTTAGCGGTGCTGCCACCTCGCTGTTCTCCAGGAAACTGCCATTTTTAAGACTTTTCATGGTCAGCTGACAGCATAATCAGTGCATTGCTAAGTAGGCGTTCTATGTGAATGAAACAATCTCAAAAAAAAAAAAAATCACCTTCCACTATAAAGGTTCCTTGTGCAAATCTACCCCTCCTAGTCAAGGTGGCATCCAGTTTTATTATGTGTACTTTCCTCTTTTCTTTCTTCATAGCAAGATTATTTCATTAACCTGATCCATGCATTCAGGTTTTTGGTGCTGGTGGTGTTGGTAATCTAGAAATTTAAGAGTTCACATAGCATGGAACAAGAGTGTCATCTAGTGGTGAGATTACTGTGCATGTTGTTTATTTGCTATGCCTTTATTTCTGCATCTTCTGAGCAGATTTACTGAGTGCTGGAGAGAAGAGATGAGTTGTCCCCAAATATTTTTGTCATGATCTAACTTTTAACTTTAGAATAGTTAATTCTATTTTCAGCCATCAGCTTTTAGCTGTAGCTGGTTAAAAAGGCTTCAATTTGACTTTATTTTTTTAAAAAATGAGTAAGTTGAAAGCTAAAGGAGAATAAAATATGACTTTCACCGTTTTCCCTGACAGTTACTCTCTAAAATTCCATTTTCCTTGTCTTGGAAGAGATGGGGAACAGGATGAGCACCAGGGCTGATTCTGAACTTCTCTACCCCAACCTTGACGGGCCACTTTGATGCTTCCAAACAACATTGCAAGAGGTTAGACTAGATGGCCCTCAACTCTACAATTCTCTGGTTAGGCTGCAAAGGAAGTTCCCTGCTAATAATGGGGTTTGATCTGTGTTGTATTTATATTCAGTGCCAACTGCAAGCTCTATTTTCAGAAGATCAGGTATATTTGAGCTCCTGATTTATATGGGCTTTTTTCCTTTTATTACAGTACATCAATATCTCTTTCATTCCTAGATTGTGTACAAACACCTGAGGCTGAGATTTATTAATGTCCTATCTCACTCTGCCTAATGCTTTTAAGAAGCACTTAAGCATCATTAGGATTCTGGTTCTCAAGTTATTTGAGGCTAACGTTTGTCACATTTTGGACAAAAAATGGGTGGGACTAACTTGGTTTTTTTTAAATATATATATATAATTTATCACCGATTATCCAAATAACAAGTGCACATTGCTCCATTGAGTACTGGACACTTCTACAAAGTGAATGGGTGAAAAGGAGTGAAGTTACTTACTTCAGTAAATCTTTGATTTCTGCCCTTATCTAATGCACTGCCTGATCTTCTAGACAATCTCTATGCACTTTTATTAAACATTCCACTACCACAAAACAGCGTCTTGCCATTCATTTATACTCACAGTGAACAGCAAGTAAGAAAATGGAAACAGACAAAATCATAAGGAAATCCTTGAAACCCATCATTAGTTTTACAGTACCACGGAGAGAACATTCTTCCCTGCTTTGCAGAACATTTGTGCAAACGGCCTCCCAAAATCACTTCCTTTGCCAGCAGGACGCCTCTGACAATCATCCCTAGAAATTGTTTGAAGAAGGTATGTGTATTTTTAGCTACACCATATCCGGCAGCTGGAATGCTAGCATGTGACATTTCAACCTGTGTTCAATAATTTGTGCCCTAGAACAGTTGGTCATGGACCCAGCAAGAAAGGAGGCAGCCCAACACTTAATTCTAAGTGGTGCCCAGGACCTGTGTAAGACACAAATGTTGAATTGATTGGACGTTGCCACTGAATATGAAGACATAGTATTGAGAACCTGAAACACTTTACTATTGTCAGATTAAATTAAGAATATGGAACAAATGAAGTTGCTGTATATTCACCACTTGTAGACTGAAAACTACAGCTGTAGAATTATTTCTCAAGATAAGTTTTTTTTATGGGTGCTTACAGAGAGGACATTAATACTGCAAATGTGTTGTCACCAACAGTTTTTTTTATTTATCAGATTTTCTACAGAAGGGGGAAAATTAGATTAAGGGGAGGGGGCAGGGCCAGTTTAGAGGCCCTAAGCACTTGATTTTGGTGCCCCCATATACCGGTATATCTAATTCAAAAGTAAGCAATAATAAACTGTAAAATGAAACAGTATTTTTCAGAATGAAACAAAATCTAAAGATTGAAAATAATGTTTTTTTTGTATACTTCCACTTTGTATTTTTAAAAAAATCCACATTTTCTAATTGCAAAACTAATCTTACATAACACATAAGCTTCTATACTTAGTAGAGATAAGGCATCCAGCCTCAACTCTCACTTCTTGCCTTTGTCTTTCTAATGATGGTAGTTAGACAAAAGCCAGAGCTGAGAGTTGAGGGAGGGCCCCCCACCAATTTGCTGTATGACACAGTTATCTTAGATAGAGGGGCATTACCTCACCCAAAAGCTAGCCTGGA